AACATCTCACCAGAGTGTCCCATGCAGCCTTTGCTGTTGTAGAGTCTGCAATCTTCTCAAACACGTTTACATCCACACATTGATGAATGAAGAACAATGCTTTCTGATCCTTCTTCCTTACTTCCTTCTGCGCGTTTTTCTGTTCATCGGTTGCATCTGCTGCTACTGGAACATAACCATCAGTGACAAGATCTAGAACATCTTGAGCACCAAATAGTACACGCATTTGGATCATCCAACGATTCCAGTTTTTAACATCAAATACTGGAAGGTTGGTGTTCATGTTGCCGTTTCCGTTCATCTTCTACTTTGCACAATACACTCAGATTTCTCACACAGTGTTTCCCAACCCACAGAATAAAATTCTGATCAGATTTTGTTCAAGATTCAACACGAATCTAAGAATCAAAATCAAACACACAAGACCTCACGTTCACTCGTGTTTCCCGTGTTTCCCAATGAATCTGAACCGGAGCTCTAGATACCAATTGTTGGTGCAAAGATAGAATAAATGATGAAAATAGGGAAATATTCTATTAAAGAGAATGACGGCAGAAGAAACAGGATTAAGAGTTACAATGATTGTCACCCTATTTATAGGCTAAAACTAGGGTTACTAGAATAAGATAAAATACTAAAATACCCTCTAACAAACTTAAGGCTTAAGAAAGTAATATAATAAAATATGAATTATTACTAATAAAATTAAAGAAACTAAAGTTGGAATCTTTGAGGAAATAATATGAGAATTTATAGATGAATGATGGTAAAGCCATTGCTGATAGGGCTAGAAATTAGTAGAATTGAACTCGTCTGAGTTTGACTCGACTCAATAAGAATTGGTTCAGGTCGAATTAAATAAAAACTTTTTTTTATGCTCAAACTCGATCCGTTTTAAGTTCACGAACAAACTAGTTCAACTCATTTGCTTCACGGACTTATAAGTCATTTTTTTAAAGTCTAATATTTTTGTATATATTTAACATTTTGAATTAATATTTTTTTAAAATGAAAAATATTGCAATAAAATAAAAATTAGATTGAAAGAAAATAGAAAGTTAAGATTTGGACTAAGTATTTGATCTTGCTATTGGAGTCAATATAATTCTCTCTCTCTCTCTCTCTCTCTCTCTCTCTCTCACACACACACACACACACACACACACACACACACACACACACAGAAAATTCTTCAAGAAATAAAGACTCCTCAAAATACAACAAAAGTAAAGATAAATGGAAGAAGAAGTGGAATGAAGTTGATGGTGTATTCAAGAATTCAAGAAGTCAGGGTGAGACAAGCAAGAATGATGTTTCTCATAATCAAAAATTAAAAAAAAAGGTTGAGATGAACGAAGTTCAAGGCTTTTGTTGCCAAATGTTTGGAAACAATGCTAGGGATTGTTACTTCAACAAAGAATCAAAGGAGAATGAAAAACGTTTGTGAAAATTTTCTCATGCTGGAAGTAATGACTCATAAGAGGTCATTTTGATGGCTTATACACAATTGGAATAAGAAAAAACTAATGTTTGATACCTTGACACGAGGTACAACAGTCATATGAAAAAGAGGGTGTATGGTCTTCCCAATATCAAAATTCTAAACCACCTATGTGAGGATTTTTGTTTTTCAAAACATGCTAGAAGGTCATTTAAACATGACTTATCAATGAAGTCATAATAGAAATTAGAGATAGTTCAGTCAGATGTGTGTGGCCCATTTGAAGCGAAGTCACTAGGAAGTAACTTTGACTTCTTAACCTTTATAGATGAATTCACTAGATATATGTGGATTTATCTGTTGGAGAAGAAAGGTGTGGTGTTCACCAATTTTAAAAGATTCAAGTTACTAGTTGACAAGTAAGCTGAATGTGAAATCAAAATGTTGAGAACTGATGGTCGTGGTGAGTACACCTTAAGTGTTTTTTCTCAATTTGTGAAAAAGAATGGATTGAGCATGAAGTTTTAGCACCATACACACTTCAACATAATGGAAATGTTGGGAGAAAGAATAGAAGTATCTTGAACATGGCGAGAAGCATGCTCAAGGCAAAGAAAATGCTAAACCATTTTTGGGGTAAGGCTAGCTTAAATGTTGTCTACATCATCAATAGTTGTTCCACAAATAAGTTGCATAACAAAACTTATGAAGCTTGGTATGGTTTAAAACCAAGTGTTGGACACTAAGATTTTTGGGTCATTGTGGTACAAACATGTACTTTAGAAACTTAAAAGGAAGATTAATAATAGACACCAAGCCATGATTTTAGTTAGCTACCTTTCTATAGATGCCTACAAGTTGTTATCACCAATTGAGAACAAGATGGTGTTTAGTAGGGATGTGAAATTTGGTGAAAGTAAGGGATGTAACTGGATCAACTCAATTCAGGAAGGTGAAGGTTCAAGTTACATTAGAACCACTCTTCAGGATGATGAGCAAGTAGTGAAAGTTGAGACTGAACCTACACAACCTCAAGAGGTAAGAAGATAATCAAGATTCAAAACTCAACAGTTAGAATGAATGATTATGATAGGGTTCCAGATTATGGTATAAGAGAAAATGATGACCTAATTGAAAAAGATATGGTGGCTGAAGCAAAGCCATTATATCATGTTCAAGCCATAAAATATGAGAATTGGAAAGGTGCAATGAATGAAGAGATCAAGGCCATTGAAAAGAACAAAACCAAGGAAGTAGGCAACTATTCAAGTAACAGGGTAATATATGTTAGGTGGTTTACAAGCTGAAGATGAAGCCAAATGATGAAATTGCCAAGTATAAGGCAAGACTGGTGGAAAAGGCTTTCTTGAAAAGTCTGAAATTGATTTTAATAAAGTCTATGCACCAATTTCTTGACTTGAAACCATAAGACTGGTTGTAACCATTGGAGCATATAAATGTTGGAAGATGCACCAAAATGATGTAAAGATAGCCTTCCTCAAAGGACCCATAGAAGAAGAAGTTTATATGAAACAATCACATGGTTTTGAAGTGAAAATATAAAGAGAAGATGGTGTATAGGTGGAGAAATTTTTTTATGGATTGAAGCAAGTACCTAAGACGTGGAACAAGAGGATTAATAGCTTTTTGATCAGGATAGGTTTTAATGAGTGCACATCAGAACATGAAATGTATGTGAAATGGTCAAGTGAACAAGACTAATTGATTCTATGTCTCTATGTGGATGATCTATTGGTCATAGGTTCTAATGAAGATGAATTGGAAAAGTTAAAGACAAGCCTGGAGAATGAGTTTGAGATGCCAAACTTAGAAAATTTGGCCTACTTTTTAGGAATGGAAATTGTGAACACAAGGCATAGAGTTTTCTGGCATAAGAAGAGATATGTAGAATACATCTTAAAGAAGTTCAAGATGAGCAATTCCAATCTTGCAAACACACCTATAGAGATTAACATCAAATTGAAGGAGTTAGATAATAAACTGATAGATATCACTTTGTACAGGCATATCATTGGCTCATTGAGGTATCTTTGCAATACAAGGCCTGTTATTTGTCATAGTATGAGATTAGTTAGTAGATTCATGGAGAAACCAAAGCTATGTCATCTAATTGCAGCAAAGAGGATTCTAAGGTACATTAGAGGTACAACTAACCATGGAGTACTCATGACAAATCAACAAAACACAATAATGAAAACCAATGTCTATGGTTATTTTGATTCAGATTGGAGTGGTGATCAAGATGATAGAAAAAGAACAACCAATCACTTATTCTTGTTTGGATTAGAACCAATCTCATGAAATTCAAAGAAGAAAGGTATTGTGGCTTTATCTTCATGTAAGGTAGAGTATGTTGCAGCCTCATATGCTACATGTCAAGCACTATGGCTTGAGATGTTGCTTGGGGAGTTGAATGTGAGCAACTGTGAGAAAATCAAGTTGTTAGTGGATAATTGGTTATCAATTTATTTGGAAAACTATTCTATGAGTCATGGTAGGAGTAAGTACATAGAAAAGAAGTATCATTTTCTTAAAGACCAAATTAGTTAGTAAAGAGAGGTGTAGAACTGAGTATTGCAAGACTAAATTGCAATTGACTGACATTCTAAAAAAAACTCATACAACAAGTAATATTTGAAGGCCTAAAAGGATTATTGAGAATGAGAAACTTTAAAAATGTGAATTAGGAAGGGTATTAGATATGTAATTCAGTTTTCTGAAGTTAAAAACTAGTTACATATGTGGTTACTGATAGTTACACACGTGGTTATTAAAAATTATATATGTTGTTATTGATAGTTATAGCGTGGTTAGTGAAAATCATGCATGTGATTACTTATAGACATATATATTTAGTTGTTATTAGTTTAACATGTGGTTATTAGCTAGAAGTTAATTAATTAACTAGAAGAAGGAATCTATATAAAAGATGTAGTACATAATTCTAATCTACCCAACTCCATTTCAATTATACTTCTCTCTCAATTGCTATTTGTTCTTTTCTATTTTTCTCAATTTACAAATTACTTGTAATTCAAGTTATCATAACTGTTTCACTTAATGGTGCTACAATTAAAAGAATACGACTAAACAATCAAATTATCTTCTTCTACTAGGTCTTAATTGAGTCTAACATTTCTCAAATACTTATGGACTTGAATAACTTGAAAGCTATTCATCTCCCACACATCTCTCATCATCTTAGTAATCACTTCAAGTGATGACTCACTCGCCTATTTGCAAATTTGGCTAGCAAGTTATGTATGCTTAGGTGTAAATAGATTCCAAAAATAATTTGATACAATATTTGAAAAGAAAGACACGATCTATAATAGTCGGTAAAGTATATAAAGAGATAATTACCACCCAAAGTATGAACGCATTAGATTCTAAATTAAAGTTTATATCATGTTTAACGCGTGTCACCCACTATCTTCATTCTATAAATACCTTTATCCCATGGCGTGTGTCTTCCACACTTACACACCAATATCCAATATTCCAACTAACTCATTTCACATATTTATTAGATCTATCTATGGCAGAAATTCAACACCATGCAACTTCATTACCTCGTAGTGAATCAAAAGTATACAACATGGATGTTGAAAAACAAGGAGAAGAAGAACAAATTGATGAAAAAGATTATACTCAAAGAGCACAATGGCTTAGAGCAGCTGTACTAGGTGCTAATGATGGTTTACTCTCAACAGCTTCCTTAATGATGGGTATTGGAGCTGTTAACAAAGATGTAAAGACAATGATTCTAACAGGAATTGCTGGTCTTGTTGCTGGTGCATGTAGCATGGCAATAGGTGAATTTGTTTCTGTTTATTCACAATATGATATTGAGTTTTCTCAAATGAAAAGACAAGGAAACACTTCTCAGAAAGATAAGTTGCCTAACCCTTATTACGCTGCTTTCGCTTCCGCCGTCGCGTTTGCAGTCGGCGCGTTGGTGCCGCTGCTCGGCGCCGCGTTTGTGAAAGATTATAAGGTTAGGTTGGGAGTTGTGGTTGGTGTTGTGAGTGTTGCTTTGTTTGGTTTTGGATTGTTGAGTGGTTTTCTTGGGAAAGCACCTTTGGTTAAGTCTTCTTTTAGGGTTTTGATTGGTGGATGGCTTGCTATGTCTCTTACTTTTGGTTTAACGAAGCTTGTAAACCATGTTGGGGTTTGATCATTTTCATCAACTTTAGCTTTTTCTTCTTCTTTATACTACTTAATTTATAGCTTTAATTATTCCACAACTTTAATTCTTCTTGTATAAGATTAGTTTGATATGCACATCTTTTGTCTTTCTTTATATAGATCTAATGTTTGATGTACCCTATATGGTGTCAAGTGTTCATTTATATATATTGAATAGAGTTAACCTATAGTTTCAATAATAAAAAGAAAGAAAGAAAGAAAAACCTATAGTTTCATGGATTAATAGTACTACAATTTCACTATTTTTTTCCAAGTTAGGAATCAATAAAAGAATAGTTATGGAAGAATGCTTATGAAATGTCATGACACATGCCTAGAAGAGAGTTTGTCGTTAATTCAATCAAGATTTATAAAATTAATCTTTTGACGGATGATTATTAGTTTATAGAAAAAGTTAAATATGTTTGGTCCCTTAAATATTTTATAATTCAATTTTGATTCTTTTAATTTTTTTTCTCTAAAATTTTTCTTCAACAATTTTGATTTATGTGATCAATTTTATATAATGTAAGCTGTAATTGAGGTACAATTGATATATTTTTGTAGGGAAGAAATCCACAAACAGCATAATCCAGCAACACAATTTCTCTCAAATATTAAATGCAATCATAATCAAAACATACTAAACAATACAACACAATTTTAGTGTGAAAAACATCTGTTAAGTAAGAGTAAAAAAAATTATGGGATGAATAGGTCACTTAAATCTCCACTATAATCAAACAATGGGTACAATCAAGATTCTCTCTAACACTAGTTAGAGGCATACATCAACATCATCAAGATCTACAATCAATCTTGAAATATAACAAGAATCAAGAGATACGATGAACCAAAACAATCACAAAAAATTGCACATTAGAAGTGGACTTGTCCGACAGGCTTAGAATGCTCAAAATCCAATTTCCACTGTTCAGAATATACTTCTATGAGTGTTTAGCGCTATCACTAAAAATCAAGACGATTCGGCGGTTGGATTGTAAGAAAACTCCGATCTCGTGGGATTGCTCTATGCTGAATTAGGGTTGCGGGAATTTCACTTTTCTCTCAATTTTTCTTTTGTTGTTTCTCACCTAATGAGTATTTGATCTAATTATCTTTGTTTTATAATAACAAAGACTTTCATACACATGGGCTATTAACTCACATTTATTTGGGCCACTCCAAATAGGGGGGATAGCCCAACAAAATTCCTCGACCGACTAGTTAGAGGGCAACACCAATCCGGCTACCATGCGACAAAACTCAAACTTTCCCCTAGGCAACACCTTCGTCAGTATATCTGAACCATTGTCATCGGTGTGAATCTTTTCAAACTCCATCTACTTGGAATCTAATTCATTACGAAGCCAATGATAACAAACATCAATATGCTTCGACCTCAAGTGAAATGAGGAATTCTTTGATAACTGAATGTCACTTTGATTCTCACAAAACAAGACATACTTTCTTTGTTTCAAACCAAGTTCCATTGCAAATTTCCTCAACCATAGAAACTCTTTTGACGCCTCCACGACGACTATAAACTCGACTTCGGTAGTAGAGAGTGTAACACACTTTTGCAACTTTGATTGTCAAGCCACGACTCCCCCGACAAAAGTCACCATATACCCTGAAGTAGATTTTAGATCATCTAGGATTTCGGCTAGATCTGAATTCGTATACCCAACCAACATAGGCTTATTACATCCCAAGGTTAGCTTCAAATTCTATGAGCCACATAAATATCTCATCATCCACTTCACGACATCCCAATGATCTTTTCTTGAATTTAAGAGATAACGACTCACCATTCCCACAGTATGAGCAATATTGTGTCTTGTACAAACCATAAAATACATCAAGCTACCAATGGCCGACGAGTATGGAATGTTCTTCATACTCAACTTTTCTTCATCCATAGATGGACATAGTTTATGACTAAGCTTGAAATGATAAGCAAGTGGAATGCTCACCGCTTTAGCCTTATTCATACTAAAACGCCGAATAACTTTCTCCACATAAATTTCTTGTGTCAAGTACAATTTCTTCTTATTTTGATCTCGAACAATTTTAATACCAAGAATTTTTTGAGCCTCTCCTAAATCCTTCATAGCAAAAGATTCACTCAAAGTTGTGTTCAACTCTTTAATTCTTGAAATATCATTTACAACAATTAGCATATCATCCATATAATGCAAGAGAATAATAAAATCACCTTTGGAGAAAATTCCAAAAAAACAAACAATGATCGACCTTGGTCATCTTATACCCATATTCAATCATCATCGAATTGAACTTTTGATACCATTGATGAGGTGCTTGTTTCAAACCATAAAGATTCTTTACCAGTTTTCAAACATAGTCTTCTTTTCCCTTCTTTCGGAATCCATCTGGTTGTTCAATGTAAATTTCTTCATGTAGATCACCGAGAAGGAAAGTCGTCTTTACGTCCATTTTCTCTATTTCCAAATCAAGACTAGCAGCTAGCCTAAGAACCACTCAAATAGATTTCATCTTCACAATCGGAGCAAAAATTTTGCCAAAGTTAACACCTTTTTGTTGTTTGAAACCTTTTACCACCAAGCGAGCCTTGTGTCTTCTTTGAGAAGTACACTAATCTTGTTTAATTCGATAAACTCATCTTTTCTTAAATGTTCTCTTACCATTTGGCAACATCACTAACTCAAAGGTATTATTATCATGAAGTGATTGCATTTCATCCTCCATGGCATCCATCTACTCCTTTTTGTTCTCATCCTCTAAATCTTCTTCTAAATTTTCAGGTTCTCCACCATCGGTAAGAAAAACATACTCCTTTGAGGGATATTAAATGGAATACCTTTTATCACGAGTAAACCGCGTTAAATCATTAGAAGTAACTAGTTACTCAACACTTTCAACCTCTTGATCAACCTCATTTTCAACCCATCTTTCGTAGCACCTACTAAAATTATGGCACGCAGGTACCAGATGTCGAGACAGATGTCACAACACTGAGATCAAAACAGCTTGATCACAAATAAATATGCAAAAACTTAAATGACATAAAAGTAAAATAACACCAGTAGTTGTTAACCCATTTCAGTGCAACTCACCTACATCTAGGGGCTACCAAGCCAAGAAGGAAATTTACTATGATAGTATTAGTTCAAAACTAAACTCCCCCATTTACAACTTCTCGCCTAATCACTACCCTCTCTCACTTCCTAATCAGTCACAAATAAATGACAATTCAACAACTATCCAAAATAGAAGTACCAACCTTCCAAGTACAATACTTGGTTTTGCTTAAAAGCTTCAACCAAGAATAATACACTCTTGCTTAAAAGCTTTAGAGTGGACAATTAACAATGAATAATCGGTCTACCTTAATGCATCAGAAGATACATGAGTGACATACAAGTAACACACACTAAACCCTAAAGAGACTCTAATACACAGCTAATCATAATTTCCTCAAAATTCACGTTTTCTTTAGGTTTAGAGCCTCCTTTAAATAAAAAACAACTACATGGGCCTGGGCTCTTAAAACAAAATGAAAAACACCAGGAATCAAGCTTTTAATCATTAGATACTTTCCTGCACAAAACTAGGAACAAAATACAAAGTTTCCTAAAAAGGCTCAAGGATCCTTTTTATGAAAACCTACACAATCTATCAAAACAGAAGTTCCCACAATATCCTCCCTTGAACAACGTAAACGTGCGAATTAAAACACACTAAAAATACCAAAACAATCATGCCCTAAATTTCTAGTATAACATGTCCTGGCACATGCCACAACAGCATTCTGAACATGATGTCTGACTAACATGACAAAACATCTGGATTAACATCTTGCTAGCAGTATGTTTTACCAAAATGTTGCCAATACAAAAACCATAGAACTTACAATCTCCCCTTTGGAAATTTTTGGATAAAACAACCTTAACACACATCAGAGGCATACACAGCGGAATCAAAACAAAACATCAGACAACAAGAACCACAAACCCAAAAACTGTCAAGGCAGTAGAGCACACCTGACAGCATAATGTCAAGATAACTAGTCTGACATCACAGATCAAACAGACCAACACAAGCTACATGAGGACATGTAAGATTTGTACAAAATTTAACTTTGCAGCTACAAATCAAACATGTACAAAGCTCCCCCAGTCATACATAACCAGTACTCCACCTGAAGGGGAAAACCAAAATCACAAGAAAAATACACATGAACTCTTGCAAGTTCATACAATAGAACCAAACTTCAAAGACACTAAATACAAGCACACCCCCCTGAACATCACAACCTACTGTAGAGAAAATGCATTCTTCCAGACACAACATATGGTTCCACGTCAGCAGTAGCAGCAAGCATGACGAACTATCATGTTCCCCCTAAAAAGTTGCATACAGACTGTAGCGGAGAAATTTTTGAGTGTAAGATATTGATTAACTTAACTAAAAAATTCAAGAGTCGCCACCACACTTTTTATTTTATCCAAAAAGGAAAGGAAAAAGAGCGAATAAAACCTAAAGAATTCTAAAACAAGAACAAAAGAACAGAGATTTGGGTAAAGGGGTTGGTTACGCAATGAGAATGTGTTAGCACTCAAAACGTCTATAGTACTCTATAGAAGCCCTTTGAAATATCTACGCTTTTTGATTTGAAAATGGTTTGTTTGAAAAGAGATTGGAGAAATGAGAAAAGAATTATTTTTTAATATTTTTGTGTTTGGAGAGACTTATCGCCTCATGCCTACGTACCCACAAAGTACAATATAGGATCAAAATCCCGTAGTTCGTGGTACAAATAACAATTTTTTTTGGTTATGATTGATTTTAAATGTAAAGGCAAGTCGTCATTTTAAGGAGAAAACTATGACTAGTCTCCCACAAGTATAAGACAACACTTGCATCACCTAAAGATGGAGGATTTTGCTTGGATTAAAATCAACAAGTCCATCACTCAACATCTAAGTGGAAAATGTCAATATCTTA